TTTGTGACTGCGGGGACCCGCCCGAGATCACAAACCAAATTCGGGATCTACATTGCCAAAAAACCATACGATTCCATGTGCACAACCAGACATCCCTCCTAAATGTCCATGCCGCACCCCAATTATTTTGAGGTTTTCTTGGCTACATTTAGTCAACTTCGGACGCTTGCTCACGCACGGATGCATTGCACAGAATCTGACCTTCACATGGCCTCCGGCCTTAACACGAAGTGAGGATTGAGTCATCGGAATGGACATTGGCCTCGGCACATTATCTGTTACAAGAATTATCTATGAAGAATCTACAACTTTAAGAGTAAAGCACACCAGCAAAGTATAATAGAGCAACGGCTCCACAACTTGACTTTATATTACAAATACTATGAATACTATGATTATAAATTATAATTATCTAATGCCTGATTAAATTAAAAAGACACATAAAACCAGAAATCCTCGGACTCCGGCTCGGCACGCGGGCGCGGATTTTGTGACTGCAGAGACATCCCCGCCGTCACAAAAATTCTGGGCTCCTGACGCGGGCGTGGATTTTGTGACTGCAGACGCATCTCCGCGGTCACAAAACGCCTCGGCTCCACAGGTTTGTGACTGCAAACTCACAAAAAAACCTCAGTGGGCTCCGCGCGCGGGCGGAAATTTTGTGACTGCGGGCGCGTCCCCGCGGTCACAAAACGCCTCGGCTCCACAGGCGTGGATTTTGTGACTGCAGGCGGCTCCCCGCGGTCACAAAACCCTTCCGATCAAGAACTGAGAATCTAGAGACCTTGGCTTAAAAGCCACACAGGCACCTCACAAACACCTCTGCCCAAACAGCACGCATCTCACAATTTGAACCCTCGCATGGGCAGGCCCGTTCGTGACTTCGGGGAGGTACCGACGGTCACAAATCGATAGGGTGTCCAAGGGCTGTCGACCACGAAGTGTTGTTGTTTAAAAGCTTTGCTGGGAACCTGGCGACGTTGGGCAAGCCATTTGTGACCTAGGCCAGCTGCCAGAGGTCACAATTCGGCTTGGTCTGTGAGCAGGCCCTTTTGTGACATGTATGATGTTGCACGGGCCTTTTTTCCAGAGCCTGCAGCTGTGTAAAGTGACACAGTCACAGCGGCCATGTCCCAATGATGTGCCAATGCAATCCTGAGTCACAGTCCGGATCGCAGACAGCATTAAATTAGCAATCGTGTTCATGGCGAAGACAATAACTTCCGTCACTCGGTGCCAGAGATCTAATTAATTATATTCGGACCAAGCTTCTCTGCATAATTGTCATTCAGCGCACGCATCAGAATCATCTCCTCAATAAATCAATCTCGGGCATGCCATGAACTCGCTGTAACTGTATCAGAGAACAAATGGTGTGACTTCAGGCTTTAAGGTTAAGTCAGTCTCACTCAAATTTTAGATAAAGCGGCCACCCGGCATCATCACTCGTACGTTGCCTCATCGAAAGCCTCCTGTACGATTTTCAATGCCCGCTGGAACTCGACCCCCTGCGCCCACAACTGGGCGGCCGCTTTGTTGATGTGGTGTTGCCGTCGGCGGCACTTGTAGCGATCCAGCAAGCTCCTTTCCAGCCTCTCGGGCACCAAGCGAAGCCTGTTCGGAGCCTCAGGTCTGAGTCTGAGTGGATCAATGTCAAAAACTAAAGGAGACTGACACTGACACCTGACACGCACCACAATGACAAGCGCGTAAGATCCTCTCCTCCGACAAAACAAAAACCTACGTGACAATCCTATTATTATTATATTCTTGCAGCTGCTGTGCTGGATCCAGCCGCACAGCACGCTGCAGCGAGCCTCCTTGTGGGCCCGGCCCCACAGCAGGTCCGGGAGCCAACAACCTTTTAGCAGCAAACGTGTCCCACTGACCAGCTTCTGGGACACTCATCGTGGAACATTGATCAAAACACTCAACCCACAGCCGCGCCTGCTCACGGGAAGAAGCGGGCGCTTCGGGAGGCGGTCGCCAGCAAGAGCCTCGAGGTAGTCGGCTGCACGCATCATGTCGTACGGGTGCCCACCTGACTCAGTCAATGGTTCCACAACCCCAGTGTCTTACGTTTTTCTTCATGTTACTTTGGCTGCCATCAAACGAATCACCCGGGCCGGGGCACGCATGATCTGTGCATACTTCTTGTAGGAATCCACAGTCTTGGCGTCCAAAGGCTTCGCGATGGTCGTGACTGGCCAGTGTGACTTTAAGCCATTTCACAGAAGCCGTGCTGAGGGGGTCAGATCTTACTAGTACTGGTCTCAAGGTGAGTTTTAATTACAGAGCAACGGCACCTTGGGGAACCAAGCCCGAAGCAGCCACACTCTCCGCAACAGAGCCCGGAAGGAAGAGGAATGGCCGTGTCCAGCGTTCGTCTTGCATCCATTGCTTTGTCCTCGTGTGCTTCGCAAATGTTTCAGACTCTGATTAAGTACAGGCAATCATGATTATTTTCAGAATCATTACGACCGATGAGAACGGAGGTGCACATCCGCTGCGAATTTCGGCACAGAACCAATTTCAATGTCCTCAAGATAACATCGTCGGGCCCGGGGCGGGCACCTCGCCTGTTCCAAAAGGACTCATCCAAGAACTGTCCATTCAAATCACCTGACTCAGCATTAAAAAGTCAGCAGGTGTCAATCTCATGCACCATAGTGCCTTTAAGTTTTACTGCAAAAGCAATGACAGCAAACTCAGATTCAATAGCTAGGACAATTGTTTAATTCTGACTCAAGACACCCAGCACATCCTGTCGTCGTTTCAAGCTGAAGGCATGTGGTGCACCAGGCCCACCGATGCCTTTGAGGTGCACGTTCTGCGTCGCCACGTGCAGGAATTCTTTCCTGGCAAGCATTGCATCAGTCAGTGCCCGCCAAACCCTCCACAACCTCTCGTTGGTTGAAGAGCTCGCCTCCCCCCCCACTCGACCTGAGTTTGGGGTGCCTTGGCCATTCTATTTTAAGTCCAACGAAATTACATTTCGTTGGACTTGGCTCCAACTGGCTTTGCCGACAGAAAAACCCGCCATCCCCCCATCCTCCCCCCCCCTCCCCCACCCCTGGCCAAGCCCCCAAAGTTGAATCCCCCCCCCTGTCCTGGCAACTTTCCTCCCAGGCTCTCA